TGGCTAGGTTTTCCAACAGAGTTAAGTTATTCTAAGTGCTTCTTTCTTTTGTTTGTATTTTAACTATAGTATTTAAATAAATTGTGTTTTTGCTAAACATCAACTGGTTTGACCAGTCACATTGCATCTGGAACACGGCACTTTACATATGCCTTTAAAATAAGAAAATGTTCGGCTCTGTGCTATCTTCTTAAAATATTTTGAGGGGGTCTGGTCTGGTCCATAAGAGGTAATTACTTCATTACCTAAAATAATTTCCAAAAGGCTTCATTTAAAAGCATGTAAATCTAACTTTTGGCATATGAACTATTTTTCTATTCGCTCATTTTATACTTAATGTAACTCTCAGTTCCTTATTAATGAATAATTTGTGAACATGTAAATCTTTCGGAAAAAACATTATGGTCTGTAAATCTATACACTTCAGCTCAATAACGTTTAGTTGTTATTAAAATTGAGAGAATCTTGCTATGAGTTGTGTTTTATTTGATAAATTTAAATAATTAATTTAGAATCAATAACAAGAAGAGGAGTTCTCCGAAATAAGTCTGGTCATATAGTATATATACTGATAACAGTTCTCAACGTCCTCCATACAGAATCTACCTCCATTTCACTTGTTATTCATGAAATGCAAATCTGAGATTGCCAATATTTATTTTCTGTAAGTGTTTAAAAGGGTAAATGTATGACTTTTAGCTACAGTTATCTAACTTTAATAAATGTACTATATAGCAAAAAAAAAACCAGTATGAAAAAATCTGTCAGTTTTCCAATGGTTTTTCAGAAGAATTTTGAGTGAAGATGAGTACAGCTCTGCCTAGTCATGTCAATCCTGCATAGGTCAACAGCCCACCCCACCTATCTCGACCACAAAATAATGTCTTCTTTCTTTCTTCTGTTTGCTTATTCTATTTTACCTCGTTATCTCAATGTCAACATAAGGGATTCCCCTGATAAGTCAACTGGCAATCTTGTCTCTGTTTGGCCCTAATGTAAAAGCAATATCTTGACATCTCCTGTGTGTCAACATTTTTTGAATGTGGTTCAAAATAACAGGGACAGATTTTTGCAGAATCAAGCCAAATATGGAAGCCTTTTAAAAAGGTAGGCCGGACCCTGATATGAAGTCCAGCCACGTTCTCAGCAGATTTTGTGTGTGTCAGCAGGGTCTCTTGAAACTTTATGTTGACACACTTTATATCAACAAAAATCCTTTGGGCCCAGAGATATTGAAATATTTGAGTAGGACGTGTAGTGACAATAAAAGATTTTGAGAAGTCCAGAGAGCAGGGTCTGCCACCAATATTAGATGGGATTGTGGGAGAGAACAAAATTAGGGAACTTAGAACTAATTAGTGGTTATACGTGAAAGGATGCAGACTTGAATTTGGGGCAGTTTGAAGTTTTGTGAAGGAGGGCACGGAGAAAATTAGAGAAATGAAATCAAGAAGTGATTTTTAAAAATGTACTTAAGTTGAGTAATGGTTTGTATGTATCATAAAGAAGTAAGGGTGATTGGGAAAAAGTATGGAATTTTAACTTGATTGTGAAAGAAGCTTAGAAAATGGGAGCAAGCTAAGCCTTTCAGCCCTTTGAGTCTGCTCCACCATTCAATATGATAGTGGTTGATCATTCAACTCAGTACTCTGTTCCCACTTTCTTCCCATACCCTCCAATCCCTTTAGCCCTAAGAACTACATCTAACTCTTTGAAAACATTCAATGTTTTGGCCACTACTGCCTTATGTAGCAGAGAATTCCACAGCCTCACCACTCTGCGTGAAGAAATTTCTCCTCATCTCCGTCTTAAATGGCCTAGCCAATATTCTGAGACAGTGACCCCTTGTTCTGGACTCAGTCATCGGAACTATCTTTCCTGCATTTACCTTGTCTAGTCCTGTTAGAATTTTATAATTATCTGTGAGATTCTCCCCTATTCTTTAAATGCCAGTGAATGTAGTCCTAACCAATCAAATCTGTCTTTATATGCCCGTCCTGCTATCTGAGGAATCAGTCTGGTAAATTGTCAGTGCACTTTCCTACATAGCCAGAAAATCCATGTTCAGATAAGGAGACCAAAACTGCACACAGTTTTCTAGGTGTGGTCTTGTACAATTGGAGCAAAACATCCCCTTTTCTGTACTTGAATCTTGTTGCTATGAAAGCCAACATACCATTTGGCTTCTTCACCCCCGCTGAACCTTCATGCTTACTTTTAGTCACTGGTATACAACAACATTCTGATCTCAATGCACATCCTCCTTTCTAAATCAGTCATCTTTCAGAAAGTAATCTTCCTTAGTGTTTTTGCTACCAAAGTAAAGAACCTTACATTTGTCTACATTATACTTCATCTGCCATGCATTTGCCCACTTACTCAACTTGTCTAAATCATACTGAAGCATCTCTGCATCCTCCTCGTAGCTCACCCTCCCACCTAGCTATGTGTCATCTGCAAACTAGAAGATAATACATTTATTTACCTCGTCTAAACATTAATATATATTTAGACCACACTTGGAATATTGTGTTCAGTTCTGGTCACCTTATTATAGGAAGGATGTAGAAGCTTTAGAGAGGGTGCAGAGGAGATTTACCAGGATGCTGCCTGGACTGGAGGTCTTATGAGGAAAGGTTGAGGGATCTAGGGCCTTTCTCATTGGAGCGAAGAAGGATGAGAGGTGACTTGATAGAGGTGTGCAAGGTGATGAGAGGCATAGATAGAGTGGATACCTAGAGACTTTTTCCCCAGGGCGGAAATAACTATTACAAGGGGGCATAATTTTCAGGTGAATGGAGAAAAGTATAGGGGAGATGTCAGATGTAGGTTCTTTTCACAGAGAGTGGTGGGTGCGTGGAATGCACTGCTGGCAGTGGTAGGGGAGTCAGATACATATTAGGGACATTTAAGCGACTTTTGGATAGACACATGGATGATAGTAAAATGTAAGGTATGCAGGGTAGTCTGATCATAGAGTAGGATAATAGGTTGGCACAACATCATGGACCGAAGGGCCTGTACTGTGCTGTACTGGTCTATGTTCTATATATTGTGAAAAGCTAGGGCCGAAGCACTATCCCACTAATCACTGTCTGGTATCCAGAAAAAGACCTGTCTATTCTTAGTCTTCATTTCCTGTCTGCCAACCAGTTCTCTGTTTGCGTCAGTACACTACCCCCAATCCAATGCACTTTAATTTAAATGCTGATTTCTTATTTGAGACCTCATCAACTCTACTAGTTACATCCTCAAAATTCCAGATTTGTCAAGCATGGTTTCCTTTTCATAAATCCATGCTGATTCTGTCCAGTCGTGTCACTATTTTCCAAGTGCTCTGCAATTAAATCTTTTATATTGAACTCTAGTCAGAATAAGCAGTGTATTGTTCCCTATTTTCTCTCTACCTCCTTTTTTTTAAAATAGTAGGGTTACATTAGCAACCCTCAAATCCACAGAAACTGTTCCAGAGCCTACAGAAAACTGAAAGATGACCACCAATGTGTCCACGATTTGAAGGGACACTTCTTTAAATATTCTGGAATGTGGATTATTCAAACCCTAAAGATTTATCATCCTTTAATCCCATCCATTCTCCATGATTCTCCTACTTGCACTGATTTCTTTCAGTTCCTACCTCTATCACTAGATCCTGTTTTCCACCTTTTTGGGATGTTATTTGTGTCCTCGTTTGTAAAAATGGAACCAAAGTACATACTTAATTAGTCTGCCATCTCTTGGTTCCCCATTATTACATCCCTGCTTCTGACTGTAAGGGATCTCCACTTCTCTTCACTAATTTTTTTTTGCTCTTCACATAATTATAGAAGCATTTACAATCAGTTTGTCTGTTCTCCGTAAGCTGGCTGACTCTATTTTCCCACTCTCAATCAATCCCTTTGTCCTCCTTGTTGAAACCTAAATTGCTCCCAAACCTAAGGTCTGCTGCATTTCTTGGCCAGGTTGCATGCTCCTTCCTTGGATCTAGTACTGTCCCTAAGTTCCCTTGTTAGCTATGGTCAGGTCACCTTTCCCTTTTTATTTTTGTGCCAAATGAGAATGAAATGCAACAAATATTCATCCATACATTCTTTAAATATTACTATTGCCAGTCCCCTTTCATCCCGTTAAGTAATGTTTCCTTTATTTACATTCAGCATGCTAGTCTCAGAATCAACTACATCACTCTCCATCTTAAAGAAGAATTCTATTATTTTATGGTCACTCTTCCTCCAGGGGTCTCTCACAGATTGCCAGAAAATCTTTTCTCATTACACAATATCTAGTCTAGGATTGTGTGTTCTCTAGTCGGTTCCTCTAGTTTATGGAGCTGGTATTGTACTATAAAGTTCAGTGCAAGAGAGCTACCAGAGACTCTTCCAAATGAGGAACAATTTTAGTCTTTGTGTGCAACATGTCAGATAGATTTGCTTTATTCACTCAAGATGAGAGTGTCCCTGTCAGTATTTATTGGTGTTTGACCTTCATGAACTGCTGCAATCTGTGTTGAAGGTACTCCCACAGTGATGTTAAAGAGTTCCAGGATTATACCCAGAAACAATGAAGAAGCAGCAATACATTTTCAGTTAAGGGCATTGTGTGACACAGAGTACTTGCAGCTAGCTGTGGCATTTCCCATCACATAGTCTAACACAATGAAATTTGGAGACGTAAAGGTCAATATGATCAGCACATGTATGGCTAATGACCTTTTTGCTATACTAGAGAGAAAAAATGCAGTACGTTTTTTAAATGTGTATTATGTTTTGAATCTCTAAGTTCAAAAATGTTTCACTATTGCCAGAGAACTTTGATTTTCATTCATTATGCTTAAAGCAAATTACATATTATGCATATTAGGCATTGTTGAAGTGTCCCTACTTTAGAAAAATTATTGTTCACTTGATTGTCTAGGTTTTCTACTGTATCTGATGTAAAACTGATTTTGATTTATTTTACATACTGTTGTAAATGAAAATAAATTACGTTTTGTTTTTCAGACGAGCTGCGACGTGCCCACGCACAAACCGGAGATTCAGAGCGAGAGGTACAGCAACTACACCAAGAGTTGAAGGAAGCACAGGAATTGGCCATAACCAGCAAACAAAAATGTTTTGAAGTACAAGGTGAATTTTTTACAAATGTGTAATCTCTTGCTTGAAAATAAATCTCATTGATTTTCAGATTGTTAGTTCCAGCATCAGAAAATAGTCTAGATTTCTTTGAACTCAGTTCACACATTCCAAGTAAAACTGTATTTTTCATCGATTCAGTTATAATATTGTAGCAGTGATTTGTGGAACAAAATTAGGCACCAGCAGAAAACTGCTGGCCTTCTGGTTCAAATGGATTGTACGTTATGGCGATCTCAGCTGATGTTACTACTGCTAGTGGGATCTCTGACTGAAATCTGACTTGATAGACCATCCTTTGCTTTTTATTTTACTTAATATGGTGGTGTTTCTTAAACTGTTCAAACATATAACCTAGATATGTCTTCTGCTAGCCGTTTGAGACCTTTTCTAATTTCTGGGTTTTTCTAAGCTAAGATTTTTGATTGTTCCAAATCGAAACCAAGGTGATGCCTTTCAATGTTTTTCTCCCCAGTTGTAAAACTCTCATAATGCAAACAATTCTTATCATCACACCAGGTGGGACTACAGTCAGCTGTTCTCTGACACATACTGGTTGATGATCATGTTTCCAGAAACACTATCAAGTAAACATTAAAATCCTCCTAACACACAGGCCAAAAGCCATGCTCTAAAATGAATGATATCAATATGTATAATTCACCTTGAACCTCATACCTTCATAGGGATCACTGTTTTAGTTGTTATCTCATATTCTTGTTCACCTGTTTTTACTGCTTTGACTGCATATTGTTTAGGGTTTGGGACGGACAGCATTAGAGAGAGTAGAATTCTCATATACTATTGATTTTTAAAGGTACTTTCCAGTACTCAGCTTCTATATTGGAAAGGGACCCTCAAATATACTTTTTACTTTTAAAGTGAGAAATAGATAGATCTTGGCAAGTTTGACTGTTTAAATCTTCTTAAAGTTGCTTGTTTTAAAAACAGGTCTACGTTTTAAAAAAGAGCTGCATCAGATCCCAATTTGAATTCATTAACTTCAGTGTTGTTCTGGTTTCTTTACAGCACTACTTGAAGAGGAAAGAAAGACAGCTAAACTGCAAATTGAAGAATCAACCAGACAGATCCAAGTGTTGCAAGGTATAAGCTTTCACAAGTTGTTTCGGTAGTATACGTTGACTTCGGAGGTACTGTGTCAGAGTAACACTTCTTCAACTCATATTTATATTGTTGCCCTTTAATTTTGGATCGATGCCATCAGGCCTGTATGAATGACCTGTCTTAATTTTGTTTTGGTATTACGTACGTGATATTGCTATATTGCAGACCAGTAGTTAGAAAGTATGAAGAAGTTTTGTCATGAAATAGCATGATGGTAAATGTAAATTTACATGGCCTGCTGGAAAGATATTTTTGTACTCTTGATGAGGATTTAAAATAATTCCAAGACACTTGGTTAATAAGAATTAGTCCAAAGAATTACTTACATTTAGTAAGAAATTGTTTTTTTTATCTATAAAAATTAATTTGGTCCCGAGAAATAAACTTAACATTCGGCAGTACAAACTTTCAAATAAGTCGAAATGACTATTGCTTTTTCTGTATGCAGCCCAACTCCACAAATTACAAAAGAATATTGAGATCCTTAGAGAAGAAAAAGAGAATGAAATTATTGAAACGCGTGATCAGTTGGCAAGTACCCATAAAGAGATTGTGGCTTTACGACAGACAGCAGTAGAGGCAGCAACTGGCCGTGAAAATGACATTGCCATTCTCCGAGGGGAGCTGCAGCAGGTGCAAACTGAGCTTGAACATTGGCGGCAAACTGCTTCAGAATACGAAGCCGAAATCTTCAACCTTCAAACCAAGCTCCATCTTCAAACAGAACAACAAAAAGATAAAGAAAAAGGGGAAGCAATCCAGTTACAAGGTAAGGAGAATGGGAAGGCACTTAGGAGAATAAAGTTTCCAAAATCTTTTGCTGCTTTTGAGTTACAGTGCAGGAATCCCTGAGCAGTGTTCTCCCATAATTGTGTTCAAGTCTGTGGAATGGGACTTGAACTCAGATTCTTCTAACTCAGAAATGAAAATGCTGTTACTGAGCCACAAGTGATGAAGCAAAAACAGTTTCTCTACCTTACTACCATTTTGAAACCTTTGTTAAATCACCCTCAAATTTTATAACTAAAAATTGAAGAAAAGCCATATTATTATAATGTTACTTAGTTTAACTTGAAATATTTTAATCTGTTAAATCTGTGTCAGATAACTTCCAACACCAATCTTTCCTATGGTTGAATGCCCAATGGGGGTGGTCCAAATGAAACTCTGTACAACTGATGAATCTCTGGTAATATTTTTGAACTCCAACCCCTTTAAAATAAATGACGACAGTTCATTATCCTTTTTGATTAGTCAGTGTTCTGAGGAAGGGTCACTGGACTTGAAACATTAACTCTGTTTTTCTCTCTGCGGAACCTGCCAGACCTGCTGAGTTTCACCAACACTTTTTGTTTTTGGTTCAGATCTCCAGCATCCTCAGTTCCTCGTTTTATCCTTTTTGATTATTTCCATCACCAGGTTACTAGCTTATTGCCGTCTGTGTGCACTAATGCATAAAATTTCTTTGCTCCACATTGCTCAAAATCTCTCATCAATAGTAAATATTCTGATTTATCTCTTGGATCCAAAATGAATTATCTCATTTTTCTTTGTATTCTACTTGCTCCCATCTGCATCTACTGGTTCCCCTTTATCAGTTCTACTTGTTATATCCTCAGATCTCTAGCAAACTTGACAAACATGACTTCCCTTTCACAAAACCATGTGACTGTTTAAATGCATTAAGCATTTTGTAATGACCTATAAATTCTTTCTTATTGATGGAATCTAACATTTTCCCAATGGTAAATGACAAGCCAACTAGCCTATGGTTTTCTGCTTTCCATCTGCCTTGTTTTTTGAACAGGGCCATTACTTTAATGGTTTCGAAATCTGCGAGAACCTTCCTGGAATTCAGTGAGTTCCGGAATATTTTGAACAATGTCTCCACTATCCACATTTGGTCCTGGCAATTTGTTTGTCTTTAGTCTTAGTCTTTCAAATATTTTGTCCCTCATGAGAGAGACTGTTAGAAGATCTTTCGTCCTGTTAGCACTTTACTTACCTGTTACCTTTCAGTTGTTTATAGTGTCCTCCACTATGAAGACCGATGGAAAAATATTGGTTCAAGTTATCTGCCATTTCTCTTATTAATTCCCTCATTTATCCTCCAAGGTTACCATATTTTCTTTGGCTACTTTCTTTTTATATACCTATAGAAGCTCTTGCTGTTTCTTCTTACATTTCTTGCCAAGTTACTTTCATAATCAATTTTCTCCCTCTTAGCTTTATAGTCATCTGCCACTAGTTTCCAAAAAAAGTAGCCAGTCCTTTGACCTACCACTAGTTTTGTCGTTTTATATGCCTTAGTTTTTGATTGGATGCTTTCCTTGATCACCTTTGTAAACCCTGGGTGGATCATGTTTCTCAGATTGTTTTTGACCAGAATAAATTTTTGCTCAGCGTTATAAAATGTCTGCATAAGTGTCGGCCACTGCTCATCCACCGTCTTTCCACTTAGTTTATTTTCCCTACCTTCGCCTGATACCTTTCTTTCTTCATACCTCTGTAATTCCCCTTACTGAAGTTGGGGACACTGGTTTGACACCCAAATTGTTTGTCCTGAATTTGAATTCAAAATTTTCTACCATTAATGTGATAGCTGTGAGATCTCCTATTAATCCTACATTATTACACATTACTTGATCTAAAATTGCCTGTTCCCCTGTAGGTTATGTAATGTGCAGCTCTAGGAAACAAACCCTGATGCACTATCCAATTCATCTTCCATGTTATCCTGGTCCATCTGATTTTTATCCAGTCAATACACAAATTAAAATTATACACTATCATGTAAGTGCTCTCCTTACACACTTCTATTATTTCCCAATTTATACTTTGTCCTACAGTGAGAAAACTCTTTGGCACCTATGATTTCTTTTGCTTGCTAGACCTTAGTTTCACCCTAACTGATTCCACATCACAATATGTTGCATCTATATCATTACTCAGCACTGTACTGATACCATCCTTTATTAACAAAACTATCTCACCTACTTTTCCTTTCTGCCTACACTTCTGGAATGTCAAATTGCTTTGAGTTCCCATCTTGGTCACCCTGTAACCATGTCTCCATAATAGCTATCAAGTCATATTCATTTATCTCTATTTGTGTCATCAACGCATTTGTCTTGTTACAAATGCTCCGTACATTCAGATAAAGAGCATAAGATACAGGCACAGCCTGCCCAACCTTTCATCATAAGGTGAGCCTTTCAACCCGGTAATGAATTGAGTGAACCTTCTCTGCACTGATTCTCATGCAATATATATAATTTCTTAGGCAAGGAAATCACAACCAGACACAGTAGTCCAGATGCATCAGTAGGCCGTGTACAGCTACACCAATATTTTTGTATTTGATTCCCCTTGCAATAAATGCCAACATTCCAAATGCTTTCCAAATCAATTGCTTTATCTCCATTCTAACATTTTGTGTTTTATGTAACAGGTCACCCAGATACATATGTAGCTCAGAATTCTACAATCTCTCTGTATTTAATTAATTTGCTAATTTTCTATTTTTCCTGCTAATGTGGACAAATTTACATTATCCTCTATCTGCCATATTTTTACCACTTATCTATGTCCCTTTGCCAACTCCTGGGTTCTCTAACAACTTATTTTACTATGTATCTTTGTGTCATCAGCAAATTCAGCAATCATACATTTTTGTTTCATTCAACTCATTGATAATAGATTTATTATTGGTTGAGCACTGACTCCTGTGGCACCCAACTAGCTACAGTTTGCCAATATGAAAATGACCCATGTATCCCTACTTTTGTATTTCTGATAGTTAACCAATCTTTTATCTGTGTTAATGGGCTAACCCTACATCACAGAGCTCTTATTTTGTGTTGAAAATCTATGACATCTTAACAACTGCCTTTTGGAAATCCACATGCTCTGCATCCACAGATTCCCCTTTATCCACCTCTCTCGTTAGTTCCTCAAAGAAGTCTAATAAATTAGTCAAACATGATTTCCTTTTTACAAAATAATGCTAACACTGCCTGATTGTATTATGATTTTCTAAGTGTTCTGGTATTTCTTCTATAATAATGGATTCTAGCATTTTCCCCATGACCGATGATAGGCTAGATATACTATAGTTTCCTGCTTCCTCTCTCCTCTATTTCTTGAATAAAGTTTATCACCATCATCCTCACAGTTGACAATACTTACAACTTTGTCATCTGCAAAATTTGAAGGTATGCCGTCTAGTCCAGGTGAGTTATTAATATAGATCAAGAAAAAAAAAACGGTGCTTCTAGATCACTTGGGAACACCATTCTGTAACATCCTCCTTTTTGAAAAGCACTCATTCATCACTTATTTTCCATCATTTGGCCAACTTCGTATGCATGTTGCCACTGTCCCTTTTGTTCTACTGGCCTTAACTTTGCTTACGAGCCTGTTGGTGTCCCTTTGCTCAGATGTATGAGATCAACAATGTCACCCTCATCAACCCTCTAAATTACCACATCAAATACTCAAACCAAGGTAGCTAAATATAATTTGCAATTATCAAATCCATGCTGGCTTTCCTTAATTGAATTGCACTTGTCCATATGATTGTTAATTTTGTATTATTATTTCTAAAAGCTTTTCAGTGAGGTTAAACTGATTGATCTTTAGCTGCTAGGCTTATTCTTGCTCCTCTTTTTGAAAATGGGTGGAACATTTACAACTTTTATCCTCTAGAACCACTTGTATTTAAAAAGAATGGGAAGATTATGGTCTGTGCATTCATAATTTCCACTTTACTTCTCTTAGTATGCTCAAATGCATTTGTTCCAGTCTGGGTGACTTAATTTAAGTGCAGCCAGCCTTTCTAATACCTGTCTATCATTTTTTTGCCATCTCAACTGTCTCCTCTTTCATTAGAGCTTTGGCAGCATCCTTAACCTTGGTAAAGACAGGTGGAAAGTGCTTATTTAATACATAAGCCATACAAAGAGTCATAGAGTCTTGGCGATATACAGCACAGAAACAGACCCTTCAGTCCAACTCGTCCATGCTGACCAGATATCCTAAATAAATCTAGTCCCATTTGCCAGCATTTGGCCCATATTCCTCTTAACCCTTCCTATTCATGTACCCATCCAGATGCCTTTTTAATTCTACCAGCCTCCTCCACTTCCTCTGGCAGCTCGTTCCATACACACACCATCCTCTGTGTGAAAAAGTTGCCCCTTAGGTCCCATTTAAATCTTTCCCCTCTTATCTTAAACTTACGCCCTCTAGTTTTGGACTCCCCCACCCTGGGGAAAAGACCTTGTCTATTTACCCCATACATGCCCTTCATGATTTTATAAACTTCTATAAGGTCATCCCTCAGTCTTTGATGTTCCAGATAAAATAGCCCCAGTCTATTCAGCCTCTCCCTATAGCTCAAACCCTCCAACTCTGGCAACATCTTTGTAAATCTATCCTGAACCCTTTCAAGTTTCACAACATCTTTCCTATAGCAGGGAGACCAGAATTGCATGGAAAATTCCAAAAGTGGCCTAAACAATGTCCTGTATAGCCACAACATGACCTCCTAGTTGCTATACTCAATGCACTGACCAATAAAGGCAAGCATACCAAATACCTTCTTCATTATCCTATCTACCTGCGACTTTTCTTTCAAGGAACGATGAACCTGCACTCCAGTTCTCTTTGTTCAGCAACACTCCACAGGACCTTATCATCAAGTGGATAAGGGCTGCCCTGATTTGCCTTTCCAAAATGCAGCAGCTCACACTTAAACTCCATCTGCCA